GCTGGCTTTCAACGTTACAACGTGCGGCAAACATGAAACAGGCGACTCAAGTGCGCAGCAATCTAAACGAGCCATAGTTTCAACTACTACGCCTAGCAGGCCTAGTGCCCACCAGCGGCCAAGTGCCAAGCACTGCCCGTCACTTTTGCGCCTTATCAGTCGCCGTCGCCGTCGCCGTCACCCGATGGGTCTGGCCAGCCCCAGTCCCCACTCTTAGTCCCTGCCGCAGTCTCTGTGTCAGCTGTCCCCCTTTGCCGTCTGGTAGCATTTGCGTGTGCTCTCGTTTCGCAGCTTCATTCAATCAGCGCGTCTGTTGGATGGAAAACCGCTACGAAATCTTTTCTTCATTTCATTAAATGTTCTCTGATAAGCGCAACTGCGTCAAACGAAAGCGTTGCTTGTGGCACGCATTTCTTTTGGTTTCGTTTTTTCAAAAGATACCCTGTAGAGAGGCTATGGAAAGGTATAATGTGAACTTCACAGTTTAGACTGCAGTGTGAGCCATAGATAGTAAAAAGTTTTTGGATAGATTGATGAATTAAAATATTAACTGAGTTAAAGCTTATTGTGTATTATTATGTAAATAGTGTAGTAAAATTTTTGTAAACCTAGCACACCTGTTTTCGTTTGTTATCAAGATTCAGCAATCAATAAATGAGCTGATTTTCTATCAAGAAAGTTTCGACTCAGCAAACTCTGAGCAGCAGACCTCGGATTGGCGGTCAGATCTACAATTGGCTATTTTAATAAAATGAATTTACATTTATAAATAGAATTTAACAGCTTTAGCCCCCAATTCAGCTTTTTGGAAGTTAGTTGATTGGGTTAAGGTAAAACGACATGCGGAATACCCTTCAATACAGCGTTGACCATATTTGGGGAACCCATCTGACAAACCTACAAGGTTAGTCATACTCAATAGCCCCATCTTCTTTTTTTTTTATCAAAGAAAAACACCATTTTTTATGTCGGCGATAATAACTATTTTATTTGATTCAAGTAGTCTCACCTTGATCATGTACGGCTTATTGTGACCGTCTCTGTAAAAAGATATAGGCTAACCAAATGGGTCCGTCGAATATGAAATATCTATATAGCTGAATATATACATATGTATATATGTAAGAATTTTTATTGAATATATATACATATCTATCCAAACCCTTTTCTGTCTGGTTTAGCTATATTAACTTTAAACATAATTTTGGCTCAAAGGGAATATATTTATAGAGCATCACCTAGTCAAAATGCCTAAAATTGTCTTACATTCATCTCAATTTATTTTTTGTGAGTATTTATTTTGGGAAGATTAAAACGAATACGTATGCTCATATATCTACATACACATGTACATACATATATGATGAAATGTAATTTAGCACATTTTGGAGAAATGTGACAAAATTTGAGGAACTGTGAAAAGCTGTCGCCCGCTGTGGAAATCGCTTTTGCTTTTTGCTTTGACTTTGGCTTTGGCTTTAATTAAAAAGTTGCGCTTTGTGCCCGGCGACAGGCCAAAGCATTTTCATATATGTATGGATGTATGTACATATATTCATATTTTGATGGCTGTGATTGCTTAAAGCTGCAACAGCGACAGCTGCTGCTGCTGCTGCTGCTGCTGTCGGTCAAGTAAATCGAAAAGCAAATGCACTGAGCAATATTAGTATGTGAAAGATATTAACAGCATACTTGGCATAACAATATGACCATATAAGACGATATAGTCCGAGACACAACCGAAGCCAGAGCCAGAGCCAGAGCCAGAGCCAAAGGCAAAGCCAAAGCCAGCAACAGGAAACAATTTTTCATAGAATTCCAGTTTTTATTAGCCGCCCACTCTAAACAAATGAGCGGGCAACAACAACGATTCGCTTTAGATGACTATGCAGCAGAGTCCTCTGCGGCATGCTTGCATTTTTGCTTAGCGACTGGCTTGGCCTGGCCAGGACTTAGACATGCCCTGGCATGTCTCATAAGACAATATAAAGTATGACAGCCATTTGGCAACACTTTGCGGGCCGTTAGCAGCGTCACCAAAAACCCTCCTAGCTCCAGCTCCTTCTCCTCTCTTATGCCAAGAGCAGCCCAAAGCAGCCCGAGCAGCCGAGGCCAAGACAACTTTTTAAATTGTTAATGCGAGCGCTCAGACAAAAGAGCTGTCATAATTCGCAGCAAAATATTGTCAAGCAACTTATGTGGAAGTACTTACATGATGCCAATTTACAACGCCTGGCCAAGACATTAGCCATTATGTGCCATCTCAGCCACTCTTGGCCCGCCTCTGCGACGGAAGTGCGCGCCATTTTCTAATATTGCAACGGATGTAATTAATATGCGCAATGAATGTGCCAACAGCTCTGCCACAATTGGCCCAATCCTAATGGCCATTACACTCGCATAATGCGCGATAATTGCTAAAATCTATTTACTACGTAGAAGGAGATGAAACGTCTCAGAGAAAGCTTCGAAAAGCAGCCAATCACAAGATGTGATTATTGTTGTCTGGAATGTGCCCATTAACTATAGTTAATTTACATTGCTTAGCCAAAAATAAGAGCTTGAAATTAAAATAATATCAATCCAGATAAAGACTTATATAGTCGATTAACATTTTGGGTGCAACGATTTTGTATACCCTGAACTCATTGAAAATGGGAAATCAGATGATAATATTTTTGTGAAAATGTATGTAACAGGCAGAAGGAGGCGTGGCAGACCCCATAAAGCATATACATACATATATTCTTGATTAGGGAAACGAGCAAGTCGATAACTATGTATATCCGTCCCCACGCCAGTATGTATGAACACCGAGATCTCAGAAGGTATAAAAGTTAAAGACCTGAAATTTATATATACATACATATATTCAAGTATACGAATATTAAAACATCATATTTTTCCGATAACTCATCTCATTTTTTATCGACAATTATCGATAATTCGATTTAGTTTCATGTAAGTAAAATAAGAGAATCTTAGAATTACTGGAATATCATATGCTTTCAGGGTCCAAGAAAACTGCTTTCAGGGGTTCCTAGTCGAGCAGTCTCGACTATATATTTTTACATATATTATATACTAAAACCGTTGTCTTTATATTTCATAAGATTTCTCCTTAAAACGAGCTTTGCTACTCATATCAAAATTCACAACACTATTCCATTATCGCATAACTAACAACAGATGAAAGCTAGGTGAACCTGGCGCTAAGCGTCACATCGAATATTTTTTTAAGCATAGTATACCATTTGAATAAGCAGAATTTTTAAAAAATACTTATTGCATTAAATTTAGTTTGTATATGAAGAACTTGTGTTATTCATAGAGTTTGTTGCTTTGGTTAATATCGCAGAATCATGGCCACTGCCATCAGAATGGACAGGGACGCACTTGTCAGATTCAGTGCTTCGTACATGTACTACGTTGAGAAGCACAAGCTGTTGGACATCATGAGCCGCATCCTGGCAGAGGCCACGTTGCAGCAGATTGAGGATGTGCGCCGTTGGCTGGGCGAGAACATACGGCGCATTGCTCAAGGTATCTACTCGAAGGCCTTGAATGCCTTTCATCTGGGCATCGATGCCGACTACTATCAGCTGCCCAAGAACTTCTACCATCGCATCGTGCTGCACGGTCGCGTCGGCTCGGGCCGCCGCTCGCTGGCCCATGTGCTGGCCCAGCGCTGGAATCTGCTGATACTGGATGCCGACACGCTGGCCTACCATCACATCAATGGACAAGCCCAGGGCAGGCAGGTGCCGCTGCTGCATGAGGGCATCGAGAAGCGCTCGGTCTACAAGATCTCGGAAGCCATTGGCAACATCATACAGAAGCGTCTGCTGCAGGAGGACGCACTGCATCGCGGCTGGATACTGATCAACTATCCCAATAACAGATGCGAGGCTCGCGAGCTCTTCGAGACCTTCAGCGTGCCGCCGAATCGGCTCATTTTCCTGCAGGTCGACGAGCAGACGGCGCGCATGCGCCTGCTGATGCGCAAGTACGCGCCCTGCCCGCAGGACAACATCACCTACATGGACTACCAGATGCAGCAGTTTCGCAAGAGCGAGCCCCTGCTCAACACCTATCTCAGTCATCGGCGCGAGGTGCTCTATGTGGATGCCACCGAGTGCTTCGAGACCGTCAAGTGCTTCATCATGTCACAGCTAACCAAGACGCCCTACGTGCTCGGCTACAAGTACGGCGAGAGTAGTCCAATTGACTAAATTGTCCCCGGCTCCAATTACCAGCTCCACTTTCACATAAATTATTGAATCTGTATGCGAGCCACAACAAAGTTGACTCCACATCTAAAAAATAGAAGAGAACGGTATTCCATAATTTCCCATGTCAATGCATTGTTTACTACTCGCTCAAGTGGATGCTGTGGTTGTTGTTGTTGCTGCTAGGGTCGGGGCGTAAAATGCTGTGCTTATCAGCTTTCTTTTGCCTCGACAACAGTTCTCGAACAGCCCTCCGAAAAGCGTAAACATTTTTCGTTTAGGTAAACAACAAAAAACGAAACCAAACGAAAAGAAAGTGATTTGAAATTATTGCTATTTGAATTTTCCATCATGAAAAAGGAAAAACACAGCGCGGAAAAAAAACTGTAGAAAAACAATAAAAAGAAAAACAAATGATTTTATGACCACAACTTAAGTGCTCAATTTTTAATTGTTTGACGACGCTGATAAGTAGCCGAGACAGAAATTGGAATGAATGAATGGAATGGCGAGACGAGGCTTGGGGTGGAGGTGGAGGTGGAGGCTGAGGCTGTTTTTATGGCACCCAAAAGTTCAATCAAAGTTTTTTACTCCCTGTTGACTTAACGCCGCCTGGCCGCAGGGCTCAGCAGCATTTCATTAGCCTCGCAGGTTGATGGCAATGACGCAATAGGCCACGGTCCACGGTCCCATTTCCATTCCCAATGCCCCAGCGTCCAATAGCCTAAATGAGACACTGCTCGAACACAATTAAAGAAAAAGCAAAGCACAAAAAGCAAACACAAAATTTATTAAGTAAAAAACTGCGTTTTATTGCACCACCAATGCAGCTGAGCTTAGCGCACCACCTTGATGTCCATATTGAAGCAGCAGCGCTTGCTGCTCACCGGATCCTGGAGGGCCCAGCGTATGGTGTAGGTGCTCACTGGAAACTTGGACTCGATGGGCACTTGGATGGCGTAGGTGTGCTGGACGCCGGCCTTCACGGGGCAGCTGGTGGACTTGCAGGCATCCTTCTCCAGGGTGACCAAGGGCAGCAGCTCCGCTTCGCTCTTTACCCAGTTGAGCGAGGCCTCCAGTTTCTCGGCGTCGAACTTTGGCGTAAACTTGAAGGACATATGGGCCGGACGGCGGCGGCGTATGCGACAGGCCAGGTTTTCCAGAGCTTGTGGGCACGGATCTACGCGGATCTCATCAATCGAGCACTGCTCCTCGGTTCCCGCGCAGGTGTGAAAGTTAATTACCTCTGCGTGGGCCAATGCGACCAGCAGCAGCAGCAGCAGCGACAACGACAGCGACAGTGACAGTGACATATTGGCTTGAGCGTTGGGAATGGAATGCGCCGTTCGACTGATCTCACAGCAGGTCCAAAAGGCTGCCAGCAGCGCCTTATCGCCCGGTCAAAGGTGAACGGAGCGCAGCGTCACTGATAACAGCACAGATTCACGGCCCGTGAACAGATAATGCCTGACACAGATAAGAACTACGAACTACTCACTCCTAGGCTTACGACGCACTCAATGCGGCTCAGCTCGAAGGTAGCTAAACTAATTGCCGCAGCAACAGCTAGTCATTCGAATGCACGAATATGTAGTACAGGCAAACGTTTCCCAGCTTCACACTAGTCATCTGGGTTGCGAACTGTGTGTCTATGAGCTACTTCTTCAAATGAGTGTGTTATACAAGGCTACTTGGAATATATGATATATATAACTGGAACAGATCTTTGCTTATGCAATATAGTTCTATACACCGTAGATATATTCTTCTATATATGCATGCATATATTGTACTTCTAAGTACAAAATAATCTGGTTATAATAACGCTCAAGGGACTGCCGTATCTGGAAGACGCTATAACCATAAAAATTTTTTCATAAAAGATTATCTGCTACAGATTTTCGTTACAGATTTTTGGTATCAATAACCGTACGGATGCTATAAACGGAGTCATTAGAACCAAAATTCAACTGTATATGTTTCTATATGTCCAAATGCATAAATATATGTATAACAGTTCTAAATATATGTCTCTATATATCTCTGGAATTATTGTATTTTCAGATATATAAAAGTTTTGACCAATCAGCAAGCATGCATCATTTTGAAGGCATTTCATATGTATATATAAGAGCACCTCTCTTTACGATTCTCATTACAGCTCAACCAATCATTTTATTTTGTCAAGTCATTCAAATATGCATTTATATAACATTAATTTCTAAAATAATTTATAAACCCAATTTGTTTACACAGTGTTAGCCATAAGGCACGTATATCGCCACGCTTATCAAGCTGACTAGCTGCTGGGGCACTGTACAGCTGCTTGAACAGACACAGAGGCTTACAGTTAGACATAGGGACAGACAGACGGAGAGCTGGACGGACGGAGTAGCAGACAGACGAATTGTTGTCAGTCACAAGCTGTGCGCACGTCGGAAATTTGAGACGATTCCCGCGAGAGAAGTGCACTTCAGTCACTCAGTCATTCAGTCTTGAATGCAGCGACTCTGTGCAACGCAGTTCGAAGCTGTCAATATGCCAGGCCACGACGACAATTGCACGGCTCATTTGCGGGCACATATGTCAACGGCAATGGCAACAATATTTCTAACAAATTTGTGGACAAAGGGAAAAATGTGACAACACGAAATTGAAGCAGTCAAAGAAAACCCGACCCCGACACGCTTTAACAACACTTACGCCTCACGACGCGTCGCAATTTGATGCCATATTTTGATCATGCCCAAAGGAGCCAATTAAATGAGCAACTATATATATATATATATATCAGATACATTTTCGGATGCAAAACATGTTTTTTAGCGCTCAAATGCAAACAAGTTTTTGCCCCAAAAAAAATAAAGAGCCAAATAAAAATTGATAGAAAAGTTTTGCGGCCAGCGCATAATTAAGAGACGTTCAGTCAAACTTTGATGGAAACACGTTTTCCGCTATCCTCAGCGCATTTCATTTCAGTTTTTTTTTTTTTTTTTTTTTATTTCTTGTTCGTGTTTTATTTTCTGTTAATATATTTTGCATAAATTATGAATGTTTTTTCTCTCTGTTTCCGCATTTCCCTTGGCCTTTTTATCGCCAGCGACTTTGCGCCTTTATCAAAGTCCACTGAACGGTGAATCAACAAAAGCCAAAAGCAAAACCAAAACAGAATTAATTCATTAAAGAAATATGCAAAGTATTAAAAAAATATTACCAACATCTTGCCTGATGGGGTGCCAGAGCACAGTACACAAAAAAACAAAAAAAAAAACTGGAAAAAATGAAATTTATGTTTTATTACTTAATGAACTTACCGCAAATTAAGCCAAGGGTGGCCGACAAAAAAAAAAGAAGAAGAAGAAATACAGCCAAGTCCGAGCTGGACGCATCTGCCCGTCTTCAATTAATATGCAAAAAATGTCAACAGCAACGGCTGCCAGCGAGAAAGTGTGTCCAGTCTGTCCGCTCAGTGTGATGAAAGCAAATTGGTTAGCAATTAAAGACAAGTTCTTTTAATTGAACACGTGATCAAGCAGCTGGCCAAGGCGTGAAAAAGGGTTAATCAAGTGCTGGGGATTAAGTATCCTGCGTTCATTTTAATCAAACTTGAAGACATGAAAACTTGAGCTGATTTGGGTAGAAATCTGAGGGACCGAGAAACAGATGTAGAGCCACAGCCGGATGAGATGATTTGTAGAAAGATCAATTTCATTTTTAGTACCATTCCTATTGCTTCTAGTCAAAGTTAATTAGAAATCAATGCAAAATTTAATATAAATAAAATGAAAATGTAATCATAAAAAACCAAATTTAATATAAAACCAATAAATAAAATAATAATAATAGATAAAATTAATAAATAAATAAAAAATAAATACATAAAAATAAAAATATACATTTTAAAATAAATTCACTAAAAATAAATAACAATTTAATATTAAAAATTAAATTAATTTTAACAAACCCAGTTCGCATATTGTTAAACTATTTCAGATTAGAAAATGTGAAATTGCATAACAGTTCAGATGTGATTCGCACTTTTAATGGGGAATATTAGAACAATATTGGGCGGGGGCACGAAAGTAATTTGAAGAGCATGAAAGCATTTGGAGAGCTGATGCCAAGGCAAATGCTGGCCATCATTTGCGGGCCAAATGTAGCTTGTGATTTGCGCAGATTTGGGCAATGCCGCTGGCACGCCCCCCGCCTTGCCTAGCATCAATGGGCAAGAGAACGAGGACAGCGGAGCCGGAGGCGATGAACTTGGGCAAATCACCTCAAGCGTCATAAAAAGTCAAATGAAATAAAAGCAAAAGCCGCTCCAGCCAGCAGAGAAAAACGAAAAAATAATGAGTACATTGAGATGGAGCCGGGCCAGGCCATCCAAACGGTTGAGTACTACTGCGACGACACTCGTATCGCGAGGATTTTTATTTCTTGGAATAATCTGGGAGCGAGCACACGACTAATCTTCATTTAATTTCATTTGCGCCAGCAACTGAAATTGAAACCGAAATCGCAATCGCAGCTGGAGTTGGAGTTGGAGTAGGAGTTGGATGCTCGGGGTCGAGATACCTTCGGACTGGCAAGGACAATGTAAGGACATTGCGAGCGCCCAGAGACAGTGCCAGCCAACTGGTTGCCAAGCGAGCTGAACGAGGGGGGGGGGGGGGGGGGGGAAGTGGGGCAGGGATTTGTAACATTTCATTGGCTGTGGCAGCGCTGGTGGCGTCAAGGAGATCAAAAGTATGCGACACCGTGGCTTAATTCGATTTTAACAATTGCATGGCTGCTCGCACAGCCAATGGCAAACGACCAGCCACGTCTCTCCCAGCCAGCGGACTCTAATTGAACGCCCAAGACGGCGACTCGAGCTGTAGCTGGAGCTGGAGCTGTAGCTGTAGCTGGTCCTGCTTGGCGCACATAAAACTAATCCGACGTGTGGCGCCGGCAACTTCGTCAGCGTCTTCAACAATTTGAATTTAAATGTCGTCTTGCTTTTTTATTTCTATTTTTATATCTGCTGTTAAGCTAAATACAAAAAAAAATATATATATATAAAGAGAGAGAGGGAGAAAGTGAGAGAGACATATCCAAGTATGTGTATAAAAAAAGAGACTAGCTGTGCCAAGGAACCTTTGCGAATTGAATTAAAAGTGTCGCCGAACGTGTCCTTGTCCTTGTCTAGCACGTGCCCTCAGCTCTGAGCTGTGCGTCCCTTGTCTGCCTTATGCTTAGGTGTCGCTGCTCTGCCTCCAGTCAGCGGGCCCCACCACTTACAACCCGCACAATCTACGCATCTATTGAGAATTTTATTGCTCGGAATAATTAGCTGAATTAAGCACACAAATTAATTGGCGCCGCCAGCGAAGCATATGTGGAAAAAAAGAACAGTTTATATCACATACATATATAGACATATAAGGACAAAGGCGAACAACACAAACGAGCTGAAGAATTGAGCTACAAAAGTCGAGCTGATTTACTTTTATAGGCATTTGGCTAAAAATTGAAGCTCAACCAGATTTATGCACTTCACCGAACCCAACTCTGATAAAGCAAATTAAAGAAGAAAACAAAAACACAAAATAAGAAAAACAATTCTTATTGGAACATTTCGCCTGCTCGCTCCAACCGTTGTACTTCCTCTTTCGCACTCTTTCTGGCTTATCGCTAGCGTGAATGTTGCACAAAATATTTGTTTATCAAAGCTAAAATGTGAATATGACCCAAAAATATGTATATTTTCGAAGAAATAAAAGTGTCAGTTGTACTCAAGAAATTTCCGAAAAAGGGGCAATTTTTAAATATTAAACAAGTAGTCCAGGAAATACGACTAAGAGATACCCTGTAGCCTGAGGCCTTTTAAAATTTATACTAATTTTCATAACATAGATACTTTGAGAATGATATTTTTATTTAATGAAGCTAAGACATACATACATACATTTTGTATAAAGCAAATTAATACAGAACAAGTTTTTCTCAATATCACAAACCTTCATACACAAATACATATACATACATATATGTAGGTTTGCCAGATGGGTTCGTCAAATATGGAATCCAGTGCTCTGTAATAAAATTATTTCTTAATATGTGCAAGAAATGCCAAAAAAAAGTTTTTTTAATATCCATATAGATCAATTGGATGGACATCAAGATGGACATGATAAATGTCATCGATAACTTTATATAGAATCGATTGTGTTTATTATATTGCATCAGGTCATATCGAGTCTGTAGCTCTTTGAGTCTTGGTACATATCTATATATATATACATAGATACAGAATTATATTGAGGAAGCTTAATAAGTTCTTTTAATCAATTTACATACATATGTATATTATTTCGTGTATAGTTTTATCTAATGATTTCGTCATCTTCGTTTATTTACAATCGTTTTATCAAAAGCAATATCATCTACATTTCTAAGTGTTTAGAATGTAGAGAAAAAAATAATT